AGTTGCTCCATATTTTCAAATGTCAATATTTTTTAGGACTTTCTTATCATCTTGTAAAATATGTTGAATCTTTTACAAAAATTATGGATGTAAAATTATAGCTTTAAAATATTTTATAATACATGAAAAAAAACTTCTAATTTTTTCTAAATTATAATTGAAGTTAAAAATTAGCCACTATATTGCACTCTGAATTTATTAAAATTTAATTCAAGGCAAAATATTTTTTGGAATACTTAAAATATCTGTTCCGATCCAAACCAGATCCGATTGCACGTGACGGTCCTAATAGTCGTCTGACTTGCGGGCGCCAGCGCACAGCCAACCGCATTAGGCGCTGCTATTTGAGACTTTTCTTATTCTTTTTCGCTTTTTCTTTTTAAAGAAAACTGTTCTAAAACTTTCACCTTTACTGCAACATTTTCAAAGCAAAACGTTTATTCATTTTTTTTAATTCAAAATTTAATCATTTGTCCGGGCATGTAATATAGGGGTGTAAAAAGTTGACCCAATTCAAAACTCGATGCAAACCCGACACAAAAAATTTTTTAGTTCGGGTCAACCAATTTACTAAATAGGTCGGATTTGGGTTCCATTTTCTAACCCGTTTATATAATGGGTCGGGTTCAAGTTGACCCGAGAACTCAAACTCAACGTGGGTTGACCCGGAAACTCGCTCAATCGTTCACCTCGCCTCCCTCTGTCCAACTAAGTAAGTCGCTCATGTGTCTCGCCGCCGTAGATTAAACACTCAATCGCACGACTTCACCAAACTGGACGTTGTCGAACTGGACTTCGCTCATTCGAACTGAGTCAGTCGCTCCAAACTGGACTTTGACGGCTCTGCATGTCGCACAATGTCGCCGTCGCTCACGTGTCCGAACTCGACATAACTGGATTTCACCGGCAATGATGGCCGCACGACTCACCATCGCTCACGTGTCCGAACCGGACTCTACAGTAGTCGCTGCCCACTGAGTCGCTAACCGCCGTCGCCCACACGCAGTCGCACTAGCTTGTTTTGAATCAAACGGGTTTACGGGTTGGTCAACCTGGTAACCCATGTGGGTCGAGTCCGAGTTGGAAATCCCAACTCGTTTATAAAATCGGGTCGAGTTTGGTTTCACTCGTTTAGACCCGAGTCAATTCATTTTGACCCATCGACCCGTTTTGCCACCCCTAATATAATAAATAGTACGTATAATCCTCTTACACATCCTCAAATATAAATAATTCCATGAAGTATATAAAAAACTCCTCTCTCACTCTCTCTCTCTCTCTCTCTCTGAATTACAGCCATGCATTGGGTACTCATACTCACACCCACAACCACCCATGTATCCACTCATACCCTTACCCATGTACCCACTCATACCCTTGTAGATGGGTATGGGTGGGTACTCAATATCATGAGAAAAATTAAATTACATTGCTAATCATCGTATAAATTATATTACTACAATCCTCACTACTTAGTGTGCAACACTTAACCACGTTGAGACTACTATAAATTCTAATATGCAGCTTGAAAGTTTGCAATCATAGCAAAGAGTAACAAGCCTCAAGACCATCAGTCTGTGGCAGACTGCATTCAAAAGCATGGAAAGTGGGTGGGTACAGGTCGGTATGACATCCCGAAAGTCGCCATCGGTGGGCATGGGTGGGCAAAGCTCGTTTGAGTAAAGCATGGGTACATAATGGGTACCCAACCAAGACCCCATGTAGGACTTTGCTCTCAAATCTCTCTTCCTAGTTTTCAATTAGGAGATTAAACTTTATCATATGTAGGCAAATTGCAGTCCCCCTTCATAGGCTTCATTGTATTTCTATTGAGAGTTATCAAATTATTCTTTAAAGATAGTGTAGTGCTTACAACTCAAGATTTACAATACCTGTTATAGGGCTCTAGTTTACAACTTAAATGGGAGTTCTTCGTCTCCATTTGGACGAATTAAAATATCTCAATCCCTTGAAAAGAGCTTCAATTATCTCTTGAAAAAGAAGTAGATTGTGTCCCTTTGAACGAATTGATTCTAAGATGAGAGAATTTTTCATCTAATTTTCAACTCCTATTTTTTTCCTTCAATAGATTTAATTATCCTCAAAATTTATTTTATTCTATAGTAGAGATAATAATTGATGCAACAGTATATTCTTTTCATGAAAAGACTTCAAAAAAATCTATAAATATAATTGAATTTGAATTATATTCGGTACTAGTCAGGGGCAGAATCAGCCTTTTTTTCTTAGGATGAGCAAAATAAGATTATAAAATACATAATTTTATGTATGAAATAAAAAATACTTTTTTTTTTTTTGGAACTTGGGCTATTGCAATTATTAAAAGTGTGCAAAATAGTTAAAATACTTATTCTTCTTAGAAAAAAATAAAATTTTAGGTTGGATAAATGTCCACCCTTAGCTCATCCTAGTTCCACCCCTAAATATTACTATTATATATTTAAAGTATTAGCATCAAATATAAAATACATTACTCAATTAAATTATAATCATCGCTCTAATTTGACAATAAAATAATAAACAATTTTAAACTTGATAAAAAGCAGTTAATAAATAATTTAAAATAAAATAATTCTCCAATTGAAGTCAATCATTTACAGCTTAATATTTTAAAAGGTGGCTGTGGAATTTATTTCAATCAAATTCTTATTTGATTATAATATTGATAATGACACCATCACACCACCACCTTCTTGCTTACAAATCGACGACCACTGCACCAATTACCAAATCACCTACCACACTTGGACCGAGAGTCAGTAGTTCACCAAATTCTCATTATTAAAGTAAAATATATATATAGATATTCTAATTTAAAGATTTTTAGAAAAATTAAATTATTGATCATAGGTTCTTAATAAAAATGTATTAATTCGTAAAATAGTTCATTATATGAGGTGAAGTTTTATTATAAAAAAAAAAAAAATTGTCTTACTCCTCTAGAGCAAGACGGGATTATAAGATTTGAGCTAAATATTTGGAAAATAATAAGGGTGATGGGCTTAAGTGCTTTGGATGATGATGATCGTCAATGGGAGATGGTAATCGGGTGATTACAAATGTTGGCGTTGAGTCAATAACAATCATGTTGTGATCAATGGCAGCATTTTGTAGGACTTGTTGGGAGCAAGCGATCTAGTCAAGATGATTAGGGGTGCCAATGTTTGACACAACCTGAAAACATGTCTCGAACCCGTTCCAAAAATTTCGGGTTCGGGTCAACTAGGACACGAAACGGGTCGAGTTCGGGTTCAGCAAATCGACCGATTTCAAAAACAGACCGAGTAACCCAAAATTGACCTGTTTCAGACCCGTTGTTGACATGAAAACCTGTTTTTTAACCTGAAAATCCGAGGTTGACCCATTTTTTACCTGCTTTTGACCCGAAAATATGAGAATGACCCTATTTTTTACCCGAAAACTTGCAATTTTTGGTCGGTCCCAGGTCATTCGGGTCGTGTTGGATTCGGATCCAAAAAATAGACCCATTTGCCGAAACGGGTAAGGTTCGGGTTGACCTAAACAGTGCTAGGTCAGTTTCGGATTCGACCCGAATCCAACCCGTGACCCGAAATTGACACCCCTATCAATGACGATTATCAATGTTGTTTAGGGTGCTAAGTTTTACAATTTTTAAAAATCAAGAATTATGTACCCTCTAACATTTATTTATGTGGAAAATGAAGGTATATTTATAAATTTATGATAAAATATTTTTTATTAGTTGTGCAAAAATCTCAAACAATTTACCATAATCTGCTTTATAGATATTTGACACTACTTGGAACATTTGAGCACCTTAAAGACTCCATAAAGTAAAAGATCTTGGACTCTTGAGCTCATTAAATTTATATGAAAGTGATGCTCTGCCACCATGAACAGAACAACTGCTTATTTTCTCCGCAAGGTTTTGTTTTATTTTATTTTTCTCCGCAAGATGAGTTCAAATTTGTTAGACGAAAGATGAAATATATGACCATCGGAAATGCTCATTATATTTTCTTTTTACTGGCAACAGGTAAAACCTCAATGACTGTTAACACACATAACATAGCATATAGCAGAACAGAAACCAAAGACAAAATAAAACAGTTGCAGAAGCAAGACCAGCTGCTTCTGCTCTACATCGTAATCCATTCCAGTTCAGACGACGCGGCGGCAAATCGTGAGCCCATCGCCGATACAAACCTGCGACAGCTCGATCCTCGTATCGGCGGCGAGCTTCTCGTTGAATTTGAGCACAACTTCCCTCACAAAATTGACGAATTCTGGAACGTTTTGTTGAGGAGGATGCGCAACTGTTCCAAGCCATAGTGTGTTGTCATAGCATAAGAGCCCCCCAACTCTCACCAGCTTCAATAGCCTCTCATGGTACTCCCAATAGCTTGATTTCTCAGCATCAACAAAGGCGAAATCAAACAGCTCATCCTCTTTAACCTGTTATACATATAAGCATCATTGATCATGCACTAAACGATCAACGACAAACCCTAACGATAATGATTAATTAATTAATTGATTATGGACCTCATCAACCAATTTATCAAGAGCAGGAACAGCATCTGACTCGATGAAATCGATCTTGTGTTCAACCCCTGCTTCCTTGATGAACGGAAGGCCGACCTCATAACACTCTCTGGAGATGTCGATCGCCGTTATCTGCATACAACATTTTTTTGTCAGAAGATTGATCTGAAAGTTGCTGATCGATGGAGTTATTCTGATCATATTTAAAAAATTAATGTGAAAAGTAACCTTGGCATCCTTGGGTAAGGCAAGAGCTGTGGCAAGAAGAGAGTAGCCGGTGAAGACCCCAACTTCTATGGTTCTCTTGGCGTTCATTACCTTAAGGATTATTGATAGAAGCTGCCCTTCTTCAGGGGGCACATTCATTAATGCCCTGTCAAGACCAAAATTCAATGATACGGAAAAACTAAGGGCTGTGCTATTTTAGAAGAGTAAATGGCTTGATAGCTTGCCTTTTGGGAATCCTGGCTTTGGTCTCTTCTCTCAGCTTCTTAAGAAGTTCATGCTCTTTTGGCAATACGGTGGTCTTCAGTATGTACTGCATATACATTTATATAAAACAGATATTTCATGAATCTCCGGTACAGCTTGTGGCTTAGGAAGTACAGAGGAAGACATGAAAAGGGAAAGAACCTGATGCAGAGCTTCACTCTGTAGGAGACACTTTTCGAGGAAGGAGAGATCATCACCGTCCATTTCGAGATCGGGAGAGTAAGCGAACTGACTGGTTTCTCCCTGATGAAGAAGACGATGCAAATGGCTTATCTTCTGCCTAGCCCTCGCTAGCCATTTATAGCGGATTAGGTTCCTTGGAATTACAACATTATAAATTTAGAAGAAAAAAAAATTAGGTTAGTTTCACTGCAATATAATCGGAAAATATAGTGGTGGTAGGTGGATGACTTTTTTATGCGCATTACATTTATTTTCAGATTAAAATAATATTTAATATTATTAATTCAAAATAAATTTGAGAACATAATTCTAAAATATTTTCAAAAAAAATTTTGATCTTAATTTTTTTCATTAATAAAAAAATTATATAAATGAATGTACGTCAGCTGGTGCGTTAAGAAGTGATAATTTTTTTTTAACGAAATCCTGTCCGGGAAATTTCTTTATTAGGAAATCATTTAGGCGAATTAAGATAAACGCCCGCACCTAACACCAACACATATGAGAGGCCTATGAGAGTTGCGGATCTGGCAAGTTTAAACCAATGGATGGATCCCACGAGCAAAGCATGTGCTCCATTATTGATGTGTGATATGCGAGTAAAAAAAAAAGTCACACCTTGTATTGCTTTCTACGCTAAATAATTATCTCATCAGAAATATATAATATTTAAGTTGTAAATCTGAGTAACTTTATAATGGTAGCACTGCTGCTTGAAGGGTTTAATAATTATTTCTGTTTGTACTTGATATGTTTGTGCACGAATCTCAAAGTATATTTAAAGATCATCTAAACTATTTTCCTCAAAAAAAAATCATCTAAATTCTAGATTAACAAATTTATAGTCAAACTAAATGACTCAAAAAGACAAAGTCAAGAAATCAAAATCGGTCTAATTTGAGCCCAAATGAGTCCAAATCATTGGCCCAAAGCTTATTTGAATGTCCAAAGCAAAAATTGGATTACAAAATGATATTCCAATAAGACATACTTATAGTCGAATTGAGCGGCTCAGCCCACATAGCCCACCAACTATGGTCCCTTTAATTGTCGTCACCCGTCGACTACGCTCCCTCTGACCAACGTCGCCCGCCGACTGCGATCCTTTCAACCAATGTCGTCCGTTGACTATAGACCCTTTGACCAATGTTGCCCGCCGACTACGGTCCCTTCGACCACCATTACCCGCCGACTATGTATTCTCCGACCTCTCGTGAACCGACGACTAGGGCTCCTCTTACCACTATCACCCATCGACTAAGATCCTTGCGACCTCTACCACTTGCTAACTACAATCACTCTCATCAATGTTGTCTGCCGACTATGGTCCCTCCAACCAACTTCGCTCGTCGACTACAGTCCATCCGACCAATGTAGACCACCGACTACAGCCTCTCAGACCTTTATCGCCCGTCATCTAAGGTCCTTCCGACTATTATTTCTCACCGACTACAGTCCCTCCGACCTCCGTTGCTCTACAACTAAGGTCCCTCCTATCTTCTTCGTCCAGCAAACCAAATGAATATACTAGCTTTTTCTTAAGAATGGTTCCCTTTTCATTGGATTCTTCCAACCACCGCCATATAATGTGTTATATATAATGGATATTTACTATATATATATATATAATGGTTCCTGTTCATTGGATTCTTTGTGATTCTTTGATTAGAAATAAAGTAGTTGACAAAAATTACGCCTAGATAAAAAAATTACAAATAGATAAAAAAATTACAAATAATTCTATTTGAGAGACAGAGTGCAATCTTTTGAGAGCATAATTCCCATGAGTTGTGAGAAAGATATATTAGAGGATTTCTTCATGCTTTTATGTGAAATCTCTTAAAAGAAATTAAAATTTTAAACATCGAGGCGACTTTTGATGTAATTGATGGAATTTTATTAAGAAACTCCACAATTAATCGTGCTCATTTTATAAAAATTCTAAGATTGATGACCACCTGGAAAGTTACACCAATATGACAAAATCATTAGGCAAAAGTGAATAATATCTCGATAATTAACAATTTGGTCTCTTACAAAAAATGGTATCTTAGCAATAATGTGATGCCCCAAAATCTAATTTAAAAGAATTATTTTCTAATAAATAACAACTAGAGCTATTTAATATCATATATCAGTAATAAACAACATAAACAAATTTTATAATTCAAACATCAATATACACATCTATATTCATTCTTAAAAATCATATACAATATTGATAATCTATACAATCATAACATTATATACTGTCATAAGTACAAAAAAAATAAATAAAATAAAATAAATAGAACCTGAAGAATCCTGATTAACCTCACACTCTTGATCATCTGCCTTGACTTGAAATCATTTAACTACATATAATGAGCTAAATGGTCCAACAAGAAATCAAATCCTACAACTAAACTCAAAGAACGATAGAGAACCAATCTGCATGTTAGTAGTCAAATCATAATAATAGTATTATATAATCATAGGAAAATATAATAGAGAAATCAATAATTCAAACCATGTGTCAAAGCACTAAAATCATCATATTAATACTACAATAAGTAGAGAAATTATATGAAGTGATAAAATCAAATCATTGATAAAGACTATAGAAATCAAATCAACATAATAAATTTATATAGGAGTATAAAAATTCTATTCAGTTATTTAATATCAGTAGTAAATCAGTATCTTAATCACAAGCTTAATATATAATGTATATCATGTACTCAATTTATATATCATATTTTTTATATTAATAAATCAGTAACAATGTTAATAATAATTTTATACAATAATAGAAATAATGTCTCAATAATGTTCATTTCAGTAGTCACACTTAACAAGTAAGAATTCTGGCTATCATGGTATTTTTTTAGTATTATATCAGTATCAGTAAATTAAAGGCTCAGTAAATAAAGTCGTCACTCTTTGTCCGTCGGCACAATAATCATCTCCTTATAACTCCCAATTAGTATCACGTAAATCATTAGAAGATAATATTAAACTAAAATATTTAAAGGAAAGCATGTTAGCAAATCATCTTGTACAAATCAATTAGTTTCCAATCAACGGGTTAATTATTCTTTACTTGTCTTTTACACACATATTATTATCATAATACTATAACATTAATATCGACATATTTGCATTGATTATCAATGTATTGAAATTAATAAAGCATAATTAAGCTTAACTTAGAAATTGTCAGCATGTCCTAATGGTAGGTAATTAAAATTTTATTGAGCAAAAATTTATATTTTAGAAATTTCATAGATTACCAGATATCATATAAAAAAATATTCTTGAGCTTTTATTAAACTAAATAACTATTTTTAGATGTTAAAATAAATTTTAGAGTATGTAAAAATTGATGCATTTGTCCTCTCTCTCTCTTACTTTCTCACCTTCCCATTTTTCCTTGCTCTACAAGCTTCAGCCAAATGAGGGATGGCGTGGGCAATGGCAGGATTAATGAGAATTCAATATATTTAAAAATGCTATTATTGGCCGAGCTCCACAGCGTCCAGACCCTGCACTGCATGTTGAATCAGAGACGCCAATGCCGGAGTGACAGTTCCTGGCACCGTTGTGCTCTCAAACTTAACGTCATAGTGCTCTAGAGCACGAACAATTATTATGTCCTCCGACCGGATGCAGAGAAGCATCCGGTCGTAGGCAAAAAAAACGCGGTACCGAGGTGTACTGAGTTTTTTGAAAAACTCGGTACACCTCGGTACCGCATTTTTTTTGCCTACGACCGGATGCTTCTTGCATCCGGTCAACCGAACCAAATAAAACAGCGTCGTTGTGCTCCAGTTTAAACATAAATTTTTTTAACAAATAATTTTTTGGCTTCTCACACAACATAAACCGACCCAATAAGAATAGGTTTTAAAAAATTACATCAGTTTGGGTGAACATTTTATCTTAAAATCCCCTAAAGAATTACCTCACATATTCACATTTTCTAATCAATTTTTTTTCTTAACAAAATAGGCTCATATATTCTCTTAAAATACTCTTTCCTAATTTTTAACTGTTTAAATTAATGATATGTAAATATGTAAATATGTGAATATGTGATATTTAAAATTTTAAATCATATATTTGATTAATTCTTGTCTGATCCATATTTTTATTATAAAAAAAAAAACACGTTTTTGTGCTTATAAAATTCAATTTTAAAATGGAATATTAAGTGAAAAAAAAAAATGACAATTTTTCAATCAATTTGACCAGAAAATATCAAAGTTTGAAAACATGTGCATATAATGTGATGACTCATGGCAGCGGCATGAATGTCGAGAATATAATTAGTCTTTTTCATAAATATATGATTAATGGAAGGTATCATTCTTTCAAAGCTATCAAGCTATCAAATGTGTCACAATTTTCTTACCATAAATGGAAATACATCGATTGAGATTATCATGATAAAAATTTATCTATTATGATTTTAAAATTTTAATTTTATTTTAAAATAAGAGCAACAAAATACTTGAATAGGCATTCATGTATCATATTCATACAAAAACAATAACAACAAGTCTTTATCCCACTATGTGCGGTCGACTATATGAATTTTTTTTCTCTATTGTGTCTTGTTAAGAGTCAAAATTTCAACTAAATCTAATAAAGAAAGATCATTTCTATCTAACCAAGTCTTTTTAGGCCTACCTCTATCTTTCTTAACATAAGTCAAATATAATATATCTATTTTCCTAACCGTGTCATCAGAAAGTCGCCGTTTTATGCAGCCAAACGATCTAAATTAAGTGACTTTCTCTAATCTTAACTTTCACTAGAGCGACTCCAACGTTCTCAACTTTATGCTCATTTCAAAATAAATTTTATTTTGTCTGTTGAAATAAATTTAAATAAATTATTCTTACATTATTTTTTTATTTTATTTTAAAGGGTATATTGTTCTATCAATCTTCAAGATTAGAGAAAACTCCTCTTTGATCGTTCATCTAAAGAACCTTGGTTCAACCCTCAACTCATAGATGAAATCTCATATAAAAATTATGTAATAGCTCAAACTCTTAACTATCAAGATGTTCTCTGTTTTGTCTGCTTTGACCTAAGGGCCTCAAGATTTTGCCCTTCTGGTGTAATTTTCTATGAGATCACTTATCCTAGGATT